GCACCCAAAAAAAAATATTTTCATTCTTAATTTTTTATCCTCAAATATTAAAAATTTTAATTTATATTTTAAATATTATAAATCGGTAATAATATAAACATAATTTAGATTATCGTTCAATTTTTTATCATCCGGTTAATTGCAAGTACTTCAGTCATTCACACACCCAATCGGACTCAGTTTCTCTCCCCCTTTGCTAGAATCACCCACACAGTACCTCTCGCACACACACGTATACACTCAATTACGGACACAATCACACAAATGCACAAATTTCAACTCAAATCCTCAAAGGGTGCGCAGATTGTGCTGCATTAGGAATTTTTACACTTTATACCCAAAAATTTTTTTGATTCTTACTTTATACTTTGAAAGATTATTATTTCTGTATTACACCTTTAAATGTCATAAATTAGTTGTAATATGGCTATCAGACTAACGTCCATTTCAAATTTTATTAAAAATTAATGCACATACCTCTTAAAGATATGAATGATGAGTTTATAATTTTATCCAAAAGTAATACATGTGGGTGACAAGTGTATTAATTTTTAATGAAATTTGAAATGAATGTTACTCCAAAGGCCACATTAAAACTAATTTATGACATTTAAAGTAAAATATAAGAAAAATAATTTTTTTAGGTATACAATAAAAATCAAGATATCTTTCAGAATACAAAGCGAAAAAAAGCCCGCTGCATTAAGGGCATCATCAACTATATTATTCCATATTAGGAGCCTTGACCCGATGGAATGTTACACAGATTGCACATTTTCACTAGGTATCACCAAATTTTTTGTACTAGAAATAACATATGTCTGCATAGACTCTATATCCAGAATTAACCATACAACATTTATATTTTTCTTTTCTGTTCCTTATTTATGCAATTTAAAACTAAATTGGCCAGAGAGAAACTAAGAGAAAGGGGTAGGGGAGAGAGAAGAGCGAGGTAGGTGTAGATTAGCAAAATTGTTTGATATTAAGAACTGTGTTGATTAAATTGTTTGACATTGAAAATCGTGCAGAAAAAATGATGTTTTTCAGAGGTAATAAATTTTTAAGAATAAAGTTTGTAAAACGTTGTTTTGCTTTTATAAATGTGCAATTCAAATTGCTAACAATAATATTAGGTAGATTACATAACGAGCAACACACACACCCTTAGAGCTAAAGCCAGGCACACTAGGCTTCAATGAGTTGTGTTGATTTTCTTTATTTATATATATATTTATTATTTATTGTTTATAAATAGATATAATTATTATAATTATATCTATTATTTTAGAATCAAAAATAGAATTAAGCTACTATTTTACGACTCGAATTGCCGGCATGTTTTCCAACTTGCAACGCTGCAAACGAGCGGGGGGGCTCTTTATTTGCTTGCAATGCCGACTGTACGCCTTTACTTAGAAGTAGAAATAGAGGTTGCCGTTTACCACACACTTAATAAATAATCAAAAAGTATGGATGAAGTAAGAAAAATACATAAGGAGTGAGAAAGAAATACTTAGATTACTGGAATCCAAAGTTAGGCCGACTATTTTAGTATATAGCTACACCTAAAAAACGTGTATTCCTACCCCTTCCTTTTCTATCAATGTTGTTAATTCTTATATACTAATGTATCCTCGTGTATTTGAGTTGCATTGTTCGAAAATTTGTTCCATCGTATTTTTAATCTATTTATAATCATGACACGGTTTCTTATCCACCATGGTACTAAATCCACAACTTTATATGTTTGATGAGGAGAGGTTGTCCTCAAAGATACTTATCTCATTTCATTACCGCTTGTCGAGACGTTGACACAAGTGATTCTTTGCTATTGAGACACTTTCTCTTTGTTCTTTTAAGGGAGAACTCCTTCTCAACTCTAAGATAGCGTTGAGTAACATAATGTTTGTGTTTTTTGTTTTTTTTTAATTTTATCTAAAAAAAAGTAACGTGTTTGAGATGTGTTTTTTTTTTATTGCCCGTTTTGAAAATAAGGTCAAAATATGAAAACATCAACAAAAAAAAAAAACACGCACGCGCCTCATCTCGTTTTAATAAGGTCTTACTTTCGAATCTTGTTAACACAAAAATTTAGAATTTTTGATTGGAAGTATAAAAGCCTTTTTCCTTTCTTTTCTTTTTTTTCCTCATCTCTCTCTCTCTCTCTCTTTGATTTCTCTCTTCCGAAATCGAAGCCGAAAGCAATTCAACCTCTCTCTCGTTGATTTCACTCTTTTGAAACCGAAACCAAAGACGAAGAAATCGAAGACGAAATCGAAGACGAAGATGAAACCCACTTCGTCTCTCTCGCTCATTTTCCTCTTTTTCCTTAATTTTATACCATATATATGTAGGTCTATGTATATATATACATATATTTATATAGATCGGTATATATATACATATATAGACATAGATCTACATATATGATGTTATTTTTACATAGACCTACGTGTGTGTGTGTGTGTGTATTTATTTGTGTTTGTGTGATTTGGGGGAGTGGAGTGGGGTGGGGGGTGGATTTTGGTGGTTGTGGTGGTGGGTTTCAATGGTGGGGATGGGTTGTGGGTTTCAGTGGTGGGGTTGGGGGTGAATTTCAGTGGTGTGTTTGCGTGGTCAATGGGATTGGGTGGTGAATTTTTGGTATAATACCAAACATATTTTTTTATTTTTGTTTTCACAAATTTTAAAATATAAATGACTACCAAATATGTTTTATATTTTAAATTTTTATCAAAAAAAAAAAAACAAAATTTTGTTTTTTTTTTTATAAGAAAAATATAAAAACGAAAACATTATCGAATGCACCCTCTTGAGTTTTTAAGTTTCTTAAGAGATTTAGAGTATATTATATAAAAAAAAATGCTAGGTTTTTTTCTTGCCTTCTCCTGGAAGAGTCTTCTCTCCCATCAGTAATATACGGCAAACAAGAGCTAATTTAAGCGGTTTCAAAAAAGAAAGCGAAGCTGTTATGGATGTCTTTGATTGAATTGAGACAGATATATAGAAAGTGTGTCGTGTGTGATTCATAAGATTCTATAATAGCACTAGTTCACTTAGCCTACCTCTCTCATATATAGTTCATGCCGTGTGTATAAGCTTTGATTAGAGAGTTCATATCAACTAATTTGTTTAATAGATCTATCGGGTGATTAGGTCCACCAAATTACTACCCAAAACTGGTAAGATTAAACTCAAACCCAACAACAATACCTTTGTTACTTAAATTCCATGTGCTATCATTTACTTCTCTACTTGATACTGACAGAGATGTATCTGTCTCTATCCCTTCTTGTAAGGTAATTGTACCAAATCATTGCACTCTTGGGGATGATCAAGTTCTAATATTCAATTGTTGACAATAAATCTTTCTCAATAGATAATATAATTAATTCATTCAATCTTTCTCGGGACATAAATGACCGTAAATAAGATTTTATCAATTTAAATTTTTATGCTAAAACGACTGTTACCGGTATGATTAATAAAATTCTATAAACAATACATGCATTTAGAAAAGAATCAAATCTTTTTATGTGATTTAGTATTTCAATTGAAATGTTAATTTCAATTTTAAAATTCCGTTTAAAACTTCTAATTCTGAAAGTAGATCTTAATCTAAAGATTTTAATTTTTCACAATTAAATAAAAATTCAAAAATATTTTCATATGTTTAAAATTGTTCAAATCTTTTTTTTTATTGAAGAAAGAGCTTGATCTACAACATATATAAAACAATCAATTCTAAGATATCCTTATGGTGAGTGTGTTATCACATCATTAATAATTTCAAGTAAATTGTCTTTTTCTATGAATTTTACGTTCTTCATTTCATTTCTATTGTAATATCTTTTGATGAGATCAAAGTACAATTAAATCCATTTTCTCTATATGATTCTTGAAAAGAAATAAATTCTTTTACTTGATCTATAACAATATCAATATACACATCTTTGATCTCTATATGCCTAGGGCCGACACTATTTCTATATGCCTTGGAAAAGAGAACAAACACTACTAAGCTTGTACGAAGTCCATGCTAATTTCAACCAGTCATGTACACTCAATCTTAACCATTTTTATGGACACTCAATCCAGAAGCAACTGTTTTCAAAACCTATTCAACCCATTCAATTCCAAGTAGGCTTCATTTCCATTTGGAATGGACTGAAATCTTTGAACCATTTATTATAAGAACAGTCCTGGCTCACTCCACTAACTGGACTGTTTAGTCTTGATTCTAGGAATAATTTAAACCGCTTAAAGTTCCAACTGAAAAGATGAAGTAAAACACCCTTTTCACTCCACTTAGCACTATCCCCTCTAGGGGTATTTTAGTGATTAGTTCTACAGAAACTGGACCATCCTACTCTGTCAAATACCTAGTGACAAACTCTTATGTTCCTTTCATTACATATTTCTAAACAAGTCCTTGGATAACAAGCCTAAAAATTTTCTTATTGACATTATCGACACTGATGATAGTGTATATTGAGTGACGCCATTGATGCTAAGGATGACATCGACCATGACCTTGATATGGAGCTGAACCAGCTAATGAAACCTAAATTATTGGCTTCCCTCAGCCAAAGCCTCCATAATAGGGTCAGAAAGGCTCCTACCAAAGATAATTTTCTTCCTGGATTTGAGACTAGGCCACATAATGCTACTGACTATGTTTAGGCATTGTCATTGCTATAATAAAATCATCCAGAAGGCTAACACTTTGAAACAAGGAAATAGGTATGGTCGATACTGTTCAGGGACTTTCCTCCAAAGCTCCCAACAAAAGCAGCAATTGTCATAAACATTGCCACCAGTTCGCTTTAGCATCAACCTTACATGAGAAATAACATAAAAAAACTCCACATAAAATATGCAACAAAGCATAAATTTATGCACACACAAATCTACAGATATAATGATGGAAATATCGACATGTTTCCTATAAGTTATAATATGGCAGAACTAGCAGATGAAGATATCAAATAAAGAGACTTATATTGTAAAATGCCAAATCAGTAGATAGATAAGAAAATAACAGTTAAGGAAAAATCTTAATAGTACAAAACAACAAGTTACCCATGCAGGCACACAATGGTTGAATGGTCATATCTTCTCTGTAAATTCACATTTACTCAATACTACTAGACCAGCAAGCATACCCACTACAATGAAAAGATCTAAACCTGAGGTGGTTCAATCCAGATTTTTTCTGTCGCTCGCTGAGTCACCCAAGGATAGAATTCAGAACATTTGTGATGTTTATGGGTCTCGAGGGAATAGAACCAAGTGGTCTTGTCACCATGATAATAGATCCTGTCTGCTAAAGCCGATGTTTCTTTCACTGCTGAAACTGAATACGAAGTACAACCAAGCAGTAATGCTTTGTTCCCTAAGCTATTTTGCTTGACCCAAGCCATCAGTGACCAATCAAACCTGAAAATATGAAAGCTCTCAGAGGGACATACCAACAAAAGGTCCCCATCAGATTCGACCATTTGGATCCTGGATCGAAATGTTATGCCTGTGATTGGCCCCATACCTGTAAGTAATTTCCACTCTTGAAAAGAAACAGAGTATGCCCCCAACACTCCACCGCTAAAAACACAATAAAAAGTTCCATAGCTGTAAACCACATCTTCTATTGCCAGTGAAAGCCCATCATAAGTATCTGTTGTCCATTGTAGATCACCATGATGGCAAATGCTAATACGGATTCTATCGCAACCCTTCGAACTATACAAGACAAAGAAAACACAATCTGGCAAAGTTGGAATTGAGGAGAATGTAGATCTATTGAAGCTGATATCTATATCAGGAAGATTGAGAATCTCCTCCGCATATGGATTATAACAGAACACTTTTTCGGATCTCTGTAAAAGCAACCAACCAAATTTTGATGCACAAACTGAAGCACCAAATAAATCGTCCCAGTTCTCTACCTCCATTTTATGCTCTTTGGTGAAAGGTCGGTCAGGGGGAGGACAATGGAATTTACATTCACTCAAGATATTGCCACTGCTGTCCCACCCCCAACTATGAGTCATCAGCCAGGGTAATTTTTGTGCAGGTTGGACACAATCTGCAAGTCGCCACTTCTTGCAGACACCACGAAAACGAATTCGGTCAAAGAGGTAAAGTCGCCCTGTGATTTCATTTGACACATCTATAGGGAGATCAGACCATGACCTTTCTATTTCTCCCTCATGTCTCCGTTTGTTAGCCATCACAGTTATTATTATAGCCTACACAAGGAAAGAGAAACACCAAAACCAATAATGCTGTGACCCTTTTCAAAACTAACCCTAGTTATCAATGTATGAAACAATTCAAGCAAGTCTTTTTTGGATCTTTTACATCTAAGAATGTCCCGAAACAATCAATTGAACAGCACACATAATTGCATGAAGAAAAAAAAAACCCTATCCAAGAAATTCGATCTCTCAAAATTTGTCACCAACAATACGAATTTATGTGTGTGCGCGTCTAAATATACAAAGATATAGGGTTTTAAATCAAAATCAAGTGGGTGTGAATCATACCTCAACAAGTGTGTCATTACTCCTGCTCTTTTCCTTGTTCTTCCCTGACGACGGCTACCTCTCTCTCTCTCTCTCTCTCTCTCTCCCTCTCTTCGTTCTTTGTGTTAACTCACTTCCTCTCCAACATATTATTTATATAAGGGTAATTTACAAGTTATACCTTCAAAGTATGTACCTTATTTTTTTTTTGGTTCTTGAATTTTCAATTTTAACAATTATATCCTTAAAGTTATAATCTACTTTTTGATTTAGTCATTCCAACCAAATCTATTAGGTTGTTTCAATAAAAGAATGTCACAAAACTTACCCATAACAATATATTTGTCCAACAAAGAATATTTATCTTAGATATATTGATATTTCAGTATATGTCATAGAGTATGTCTTAAATTTTTACTTTGTATCTTTTTTTTCTCAAAATCAAATAAGTTAATAAGGTTTTCTATTCTATATATAAACAATTTTCACCAAAAAAAGATACCCTTTCATCCAAGTCACCAGTTGCTTACAGAAGGTCATTCTGTCATAATAAATTACTAAATTGTGGTGTAAGGTCCAAAGTGAAACTCAATTAAAACTCTACAAATTTGATCATAACAATTAAAACTTCAAATACTAAATAAAAGTTAGGTGCATACTTTAAGGGGATAGATTGTAATTTATCCTTTATATAAAGACACATCCTCCTATGCAAGATAGAAAAGTTGCCCCCGCTCAATTATCAAATATTAATCTTACTATACTTGGCTCCCTCTAATTTCTTATAATTACATCTTATTCTAAATACAAAATAACTTGTGACCTAGATACGAGATCTTTTACTTATCAAACCAAAAGTTTCTATAGAAAGAGTATTCCATTAACGTGCCCCAATGTCAATTTTGGAGCTCAACAAAGTTTTGTGGCTAAGCTAAAGCAATCCACCACTTTGCATGCTCTTATTCTAATCAATTGTAAATGAAATGAATGTACTGCAGATATGAAAGATGAAAGATAACCAAACTAATTATACCAGCAAATAATGGCTTGGTTTTTGTTACACAGTATAATATCTCCAATTTAGTTTGGTCATCACATTTTATCTCCTAAAGACATGAAACTGATAGATTTCATTTATAAGTAGCATAACTGAAACCCTTAGCATGGTACTATGAATTATGTGTTTCTATGGTCAGAACTGGAGCAAAGGGTAAAAGTTTAAAGGGATTATTCAGCTAATTTCGTTTAAGAATATATCTCCCGATCAGCTCAAAATAGCCACAAGAAATACCATGTCAATTATGTGTGCTTTCAACTTGTGTTTTAGTTCTTTATGACATCAGTTTCAGCTGTCCCTAGATAACACCATTTCATAGTTACATCAGTGACTATAATGGCTACCATTTGCCTTGGAAACCTACTACGCTATCAAGCTATTTATCACTTACTCATGAATACAGCTAGCAACATATGAATACAAAATTTTCAATATCCATCAAGCACTCCATCTGATACTCTCGTAATATAAACATCATAATAATATTACTCATGAACTTCATAATATAAACACTAGTTACCTAAAGATGTAATCTCGTGAGAACAAAGGCCTGGAAAAGAAAACAATACTAATTATGTACGAAAGGCCATGCTAATTTCTACCAGTCAAACAATCAGTCTTACCATTTTTTATGGACATTCAATACACCACCTTGGGAAGATTTATACCAACCGACAAAAATATAAGACTGCATGAAGTCCAGAAGCAACCGTTATCAAAACCCATGCAACTCAAAGTAGGTTTCATTTCCATTTGGAATGGACTGTTGACAACAAAGAATTCTTTGACCATTTATTATAAGAACAGTCCTGACCCACTCCACTAAATGGAGTGTTTAGTCTTTTGATTCCAGGGATAATTTTTTCTCCCTAACTTTTTTCACAAACTGCCTAAAGTTCCAACTAAACAGATGAAATGAAATGCCTTTTTCGCTCTAATTAGCCTTATCCCCTCTAGGGGCATTTTAGTGATAGGTTCTATAGAAAATAGACCATCCTACTTGGTCAAATACCTGACGACGAATTCTTATGTTCCTTCATTAAAGTATTTCTAAACAAGTCGTTGGATAACAAGCCTAAAAGTTTTCTTTCTAACATTATCGATAATGGTGATAATAAATATTGAGTGACGCCATTGATGTTAATGATGATACCGACCGTGACCTTGATAAATAGCTGGAACAGCCAATGAAGCATACTTGTTGGCTTCCCTAGGCCAACGCCTCCATTAGTTCAACAATAGCGTCAGAAAGGCTTGCACCAAAGATAATTTTATTCCTCTGATTTGAGATTAGGCCACACACTGTTAATCACTCTGTTTAGGCATTGTCATTGCTCCAATCAATATCAGCCAGTAAGATAACATTTTGAAACCAGGACATAGGTTTTGATGATCCAGTTTAGGGACTTGCCTCTAAAGATCCTAACAATGAGGCAACTGTAATAAGCATTGAAACCAGTTCTCCTTAGACAAAAATCTCCAGATAACATATGCAACAGCCATAAAATTTCATAGAGTGACTGAGTGAGTTACTATTATAAGATTGTCTGTATTCGAGAACAGTATAGAAAACATTGACAATGATTGATGCATCGATGTCTCAAAATACTGACAAATCCACAGATATAATGATGGAGATATCGACATGTTTCCCATAATATGACAGAATAGCATATGGAGATATTGAATAAAAATACTCATAAATAGTATGCACAAATCAGTAGATAGATAGATAAGAAAATAACAGCTAAGAAACAATCTTTTAACCATAAAGCACAAGTTGCCCATGGCAGGTCCACAATGATTGAATAGCCAAATCTTTCTCTATAAATTCATATTTAATCAACATTACCGAACTGACAAGACATACCTGCCATAATGAAAAGATCTAAACCTCAGGGGGTTCAATCCAGAATTTTCTGGCACACGCCGAGTTACCCAATGATAGAATTCAGAACATTTGTGAGATTCACGGGTCTTGAGAGAGTAGAAGAAAGTGTTCTCGTGACTATGATATAGAAATTGTCCACTAAAGCTGATGTGTTTTTCTCTGCTGAAATTGAATACGAAGTACAACAAAGCAGTAATGCTTTGTTCTGTAAGCATCTTGCTCGACCCAAGTCATCAGTGACAATCAAACCGGAAAATATTAAAGCCCACAGAAGGATATACCAGCAAAAGGTCCCATCAGATTCAACCACTCGGATCTCGGATCGAAATGTTACATTTAAGATTGGCATCATATCTGTAAGTAATTTCAATTCTTGGGAAGCAAGAGAGTAAGCCCCCAACACTCCACCAGGAAAAACACAATAAAAAGTTCCATTGTCATAAAGTACATCCTCTATTACCAGCGTAAAACCACGGTAAGTATTGTTCTCCATCTTAGATCACCATGCATCTTAATACAAATTATTTTGTTATTATTTTTAGGTTTCAAGGGCAAAGAAAACACAATCTGGCAAGTTGGAATTGAGAAGAATGTAGACCTATCGAAGTTGATACCCATATCAGGAAGTTTGAGAATCTCCTTTGAAAAAGGATGATATACAAACGCTTTTTTGGATTTCGGTAAAAGTAACCAAACCATATTTTGATGCACAAACTGAAGCACCAAATAATTCTCACAGTTCTCTTCCTCTATTTTGTTCTCATTGGTGGACTTTTTTTAAGAGGAGGACAATGGGATTTAAAGTTACTCAAGATATGGCCATTGTTGTCCCACCTCAAATAATGAGTAATCAGCCAAGGTAGTTAATGTGCAAGTTCTCCACGCTTTGCCAATCGCCAGGTCTTGCAGACGCCACAAAAATGAAATTGGTCGAAGAGGTAAAGTCCGACACCTTGATTTCATTTAAAATATCTGTAGGGAGATCAGCCCATGGC